CCTCTTCTATTCCCACTTTTACGCCTCGCCTCTTCCCTCCTCCTCCTCCTCCTCCTCCTCCTCCTCCTCTCCTCCTCCTCCTTTCCCTCCTTTGTGCCTCTTCCAAATCCTCAAGACCTCGACGCCGTCCGAACGTGTTCTCTTGACCTCCTTCACTTCCACTCTCCATTTTTGCATTTTCTTCTTATTCTTTATCTTCACTCTTCTCTCTTTCTCTCTTTCTTTTTTTGGGAGGGATATATATATATATATATATATATATATATATATATATATATATATATATATTTTTTTTACTTTTTGGACCTTTTCTTGGTTTTATTTTATTTTATATTGAAATATATTATACATATATATATATATATATATTTTTTTTTTGGGGGGGGGAGGTGGATCTCTTCAACTCCTTTTTTTTTGTTTTCTTTTTCCTGTCTATTGCTTATTATTTCTACGTTGCCCCTTTCTTCTCCTTATTCTCCTCCCCTTACTCCCCCTTCTTCTTCTTCGTCTTCCGCTTCTTCTTTTTCCCCTCCCTCCCCCCCTCAGCGACTCCCAGCTGCGTTGGGAAAATGACCTTTGTGTATTGATCTCCACTTGGGATAAACTGATTTGTCGGCCGGAGGTTTATGGGTGTTGTGTCCTCTTTTCTATTTTCTCCTCTCTCCTCTTTTCCAATCTCCTATCCTCTCTCCTCTTTTTTTCTTTCTTTCCCTCTCCTCTCTTCTCTTCTTCGGAGGCTGTGTCCTCCTTTTCAAATTTCTCTCCTCTCTTCTTCTCTTCTCTTTTCTCCTCTCCTCTTTCCCCTTCTTCAGGTGTTCCATTTTTACCATTTTATCTCCTTTTCTCTTCTCTTCTCTTCTTTCCATGTCTCTTTTCCCTTGTTCTACTCCGTTATCCTCCGCTCTGTTCTGTTCTCTCCTCTTCTTTTCCTTTCCCCGTCTTTACCTCCCCCCTTTCTCTCTTCTCAATCTTTTCCTCCTCCTATACTCCTATTTTTTTCCTTCTCTCTCGTTCCCACCTCATTCTCTTCGCCGCGGGGCCAGGACGATCAGCGGGAACATGAAGAGAGCAGAGTAATAATATCAATAATAATGTGATAAATGGCGAGAGAGATAAAGGTCGGCTCCTTCTTCCTTCCTCCTTTCTTTCTCTTTCTCTTCCCTTTTCTCCTTTCCTGTTATATTCGTCCTTTTTTTTGGTTGTTGTTGTTGTTCTTTCTTCTTCGTCGTCGTCATCTTGTTCTTGTTCTTGATCTCCTTCTTCTTCTCCTTCTTCTTCTTCTTCTTCTTCTTCTTCTTCTTCTTCTTCTTCTTCTTCTTCTTCTTCTTCTTCTTCTTCTTCTCCTCCTCCTCCCTTCACCCCCATCTAGGCGGGATACCAGGAGAGGATGACACAGACTTCTAAAACTTCACAGCACCACAGCCAGGCCACAGGGGGGGGGGTGTCCCTTACCCCCCTACCCCCCTCTCCTCACAGCACCTGCTCCAAAAAGACGCGGTGGAGTGAATTCCTTTTTCTTTCTTTCTTTCTTTCTGTCTTCCTCATTCTTCTCACTTCTCCCACTTCCCTCATCCGTTGGGTAGGATTTCACGGTTCGACGAAACCAGAAAGAAGGGAGCGAAGAAAAGAAAGGAAGAAGGAGGGAAGAGGTGGAGGAATAGGAAAAAAGTTGAAGTGAAAGAAGAAGGAGGAGTAAGAGGAGGAGGAGGAGGAGAAGGAGAAGGAGGAGATGAAGGAGGAAGAGAAGGAGGAAAAGGAGGTAGACGCAATGAATGAGTGAGAAGTCAAGAGAGGAGAACCAAAGAGGAGAAAGAGTGGCTAATGTGCCTCTCCCCTCTTCTTCCCTTTCCTCCCCTTCCCCTTCCTTCTCCCCTCCACCCCCTTTATCTCCTCCTCTTCCCTCATCTTCTGGCCCCCTCCTCTTCCAGTTTCTCTTTCTATCCTTTCATCCACCTCTTCCTCCCCCTCCCCCCTTCAACCACCCCCTTCCCCTTCCACCCTCCTCTTCTGCTTCACCCTTTCTCCCCCCTTCTCCGCTCCCCTCCCAATCCTCTTCCCCCCTCCACCCCTCCTCTGATCCTCCCTCCCCCCTTCTCCGCCCCGCCTTCATCTCCACCTCCACCTCCTCCACTTCCTCCCCCTCCTCCCCCACCCCCTCATCAGTATGCGACCCCCTCCCCGCCGCCCTAATGTAAACACGCACACGCGCTTATGCGTCCCGTCGTCCTGACTCCAGGCTCCTCCGCGGGCCCCTTCCCCCCCTCCCCTCCACCTCCCCCTCCCTTCACCCCCTCCCCCCGCCATCACCATTAATATACATATCACAAGACTTGAGGCGCTCCACTGGGCCTCCCCTTCTCCCCCCATCCCCCCCCTACCCTCCCTCAATCCCACACACACCATCTTCTTTTCTTCCTTCGGCGCCTCCTTCGCTGGCAACTGTCTGTCTGTCTTCGTCTGTCTGTCTGTTTGTCACTCTTTCCTGTCGTCTTTACTCTCCTTTTCCTTCTTCCATTTTCTTTCCTTTCCTCTTTTCTCTCCTCTTTCTCTTTTCTTTTCTCTTCTTCTCTTCTCTTCTTCTCTCTTCTCTCCTCTCTACCGGCCCTTCCATGTTTGTCTTTTGCACAATAACAGCCGGTATGGTTGGAAGAACGAGGGAGGGGGAGGGGGGGGCGTCCAAGTAAACGGGGGGTAGGGGTGGGGTGGGGTGGGGGTTAGAGAGAGAGGCCAGAAGACGGATTCAGAAAAGGCAAGATGAACGCACGTATATAAAAAGACCTCCTACCTCCCCCCCCTCCTATCCCTGCTCTCACCCCCTCCCCCTCCTCGCCTTCTCCCTCACCCCCCCACTTTACCCCCGCTAACCCCCTACCCCCACCCCCCGTGACGTCTTCATGCTCCAGTACACCGTCACGGCCGCGCCCGTAACGGCCTGGGCGAAAAATAACGACCGAGAACACTGAGGGGGGAGGGGGGGAGATCAGGGTAGGGAGAGATGGAAAGGAAGGAAGGAGAGAGGGGAGTAAATACGCACGCAATCACTCACACACACACACACAAACACACACACACACAACCCCCATCCCCACACCACACACACACATACCCCCACCCCACACCACACACACACACCCCACCCCTTACCCTTCACCCCCACTCCCCCCCACACCCCCACACCCCCGCCGCCTGACAACACGGTCGCCCCTGGACAATGGGGATCGGCCGCGGCACTTGAAGACCCGACAGCGCCGCCCCGACGCACATGCCCGTCTGTCTTATATATTCGTGGCCTTTCCCTCGGCCCTTTGTGTGCAAAACAGAGATGGACAGCAGGGCCAACTGGGGGGGAGGGGGGGGGGAGGAGGAGGAGGAGGAGGAGGAGGAGGGAGGGTAAGGAGGAGGAGGAGGAGGGAGGGTAAGGAGGAGGAGGAGGAGGGAGGGTAAGGAGGAGGAGGAGGAGGAGGGAGGGAGGGAGGGAGGGAGGAGGAGGAGAAGGAGGGGGGCATGAGGGAGGGAGGGTAAGGAGGAGGGGGGGTAGGAGTCCGAGGGAAGGAAGGAAAGGGGGGAAGGGAGAGGAATATGAAGGAGGAGGAGGAGGGGAAAGGGGAGAGATGCTTATGCTAAAAAAAAGGGGGGGGGAGAAAGAGAAAAGCTATAAACGGAGAGAAACAAGATAAAAAGGAGGGAGATGAGACGAGAGAAAAAAAGGAGGGAGAAGAAAAAAAAGATGGAGAGAGAGAGAGAGAAGAGAAGAGAAGAGAAGAGAAGAGAAGAGGAGAGAGAGAAGAGAAGAGGAGAGAGAAAAGAGAACAGGCAAAAACATAAGCTCTTCCCAAACTTTCGCGGAAGAAAAGACAAGAAGATAAATAAGAAACGAAGCTTAAAAAAAAAAAAAAAAATACGCACATAAAAGAAAAAAAAAACATAACAACCTATAAGAAATCCTCCTGCAAAATGACAAGACAAGCAAAATGATTTCTCGAGAAGTGGCTCCAAAAGAAAAAAAAACAAAAAACAAAAAAAAAACACAAACACACACACAAACGCACAAACACGGCACAGCAGCAAAATTGGAGTACTTAAAAACAGACCCAAACAAAAATCGAGGGCAGGAGTGTCAACACGGGGGGGGGGGGGGGGGGGGGCAGAGGAGTGGCGTGGTCAACCCTTCAGCGTCTTAAAAGAGGAGGGCTATTGGAGAGGAGGGAGTCGAGAGGCGATGTGGGAAGAGAGGAAGGAGAAGGAGAAAGAGATGGAGAAGAAGGAGGAGAAGAAGGAGGAGAAGAAGGAGGAGAGGAAGGAGGAGGAGGAGGAGGAGGAGGAGGAGGAGGAGGAGAAGAGAAGAAGGAGGGAGAAGAAGAAGAAGAAGAAGGAGAAGAAGAAGGAGAAGAAGAAGAAGAAGAAGGAAGGAAGGAAGAATAAGTGAGGGACAAAGAGGGAGATGAAGGAGGAGGTGGAAGAATTAGAAAAAGGAGGTGAAAGAAGAGGAGGGGGGAAGAGGAAGAGGAGGAAGAAGAAGAAGAGGAGAAGGAGGGAGAGGAGTAGGAGGAGAAGAAGGAGTGGGAGAGGGACATCGAGGGAGATGGAGAAAGAAGTGGAAGAATTAGAAAGAAAAAAAAGAAGGAGGACGATGCATAAAACACCCTCCTCTTCCACTTCCACTTTCTTCTAAGTCCTTCCTCATCCTCACCCTTCTCCTCCACCTCCTCACCCCCACCCTTCCCCCCCACATTTCCCCACCCATTCTCCCTCCACCCTCCGAGCCATCTCTCTTTCCCACCTCAACCCCACCCCCTCCCCCCACCCACCCTGACTCCCACCCCTTTCCTCTCCCACTCCCAACCCCCTTTCCCTTTCCTTCCTCCCCCTAAACCCTTCCCCACGGCCATCCCACCCCTTTCCCCATCTCCCCCCCCCCCGCCCCTAACCCACCACCCTCCTCCTCCCTCGCCCCCCCCCCTACCCCCCATACACTCACGCCTTCAGAAGGGGGTACTCACGGGTGTTGTCGTCCCGATGCAGAAGGTGTTTCGAGCTGAGCAGGGAGAGCGGGTGGTTCGCCGGACCCACCAGCGAGCCTGTAAACCCCGACAGCAGACCTGGGGAAGGGGGGGGGGGGGAGAGGAAGGGAGATGAGGAAAGGGGAAAGGGGAAAGGGGAAAGGGGGAAGGGGGAAGGGGAAGGGAGATGAGGAAAGGGGGAGGGGAAGAGGAAGGGAGATGAGGAAAGGGGAAAGGGGGAAGGGGGAGGGGAAGAGGAAGGGAGATGAGGAAAGGGGGAAGGGGGAGGGGAAGAGGAAGGGAGATGAGGAAAGGGGAAAGGGGGAAGGGGGAAGCGGGAGGGGAAGAGGAAGGGAGATGAGGAAAGGGGAAAGGGGAAAGGGGGAGGGGAAGAGGAAGGGAGATGAGGAAAGGGGAAAAGGGGAAGGGGAAAGTGGTTGGGGAAGGGGGAAAGGGGAAGGGGGAAGCGGAAGCGGAAGAGGAAGGGGGTAGGGGAAGGGGGAAGGGGGAAGGGGAAGGGGATAGGGGAAGAGGATGAGGAAAGGGGAAGGGGTAGGGGTAGGGGTAGAGGGGGAAGAGGAGAAGGGACACGGACAAACGATGGGAGAGAGTAAAAGGGGGGGGGGAGGGGTAAGGAAAAAGAGAAATAAAAAATATAAGATTAGTTCCTGTTTATAAGATATCATTATTAATTATATACATATATATTCACAATATTATCAATTATGATGATAATGACGATGATGGTGGTGAGGGAGAACGAAGAGAGAGAGAGAGAGAGAGAGAGAGAGAGAGAGAGAGAGAGAGAGAGAGAGAGAGAGAGAGAGAGAGAGAGAGAGAGAGAGAGAGAGAGAGAGGCACAGACAGCAGCAAGAGAACAGACAAGAGAAACAGAGAGACAGACCGACAGACATCAACGAAGACACAGGCAATATATATATATCCTGTGCAACACAAGGACGAGGTGAGGGAGAGGGGAGAGGGGAAAGGGGGGAGGGGGAGGGAGAGAAGCATGAGAGACCCGGGAAGATCTGAATATTCAAAGATAAGACCACTCCTAGCCCTTGGAAGGAAGGAGGGGGGTGGGGGCAAGGGAGGGGGGAGAGGACCCAAGGGAGGGGGGGAAGTGGAGGCTGAGAAGGATACTCTAGCGTCGGGAGATGAGAATCTGGAGGGCAGAGGATGCTCCGGATGACAAGGATGCTCTAGATGGACCGAGAGGAAGGGGGGAAGGGGGGGGGTGAGCGAATGAGACGAGAGAAGAATGACTTTGAAAACAGAGAAGAGGAGGCTGAGAGAGAGAGAGAGAGAGAGAGAGAGAGAGAGAGAGAGAGAGAGAGAGAGAGAGAGAGAGAGAGAGAGAGAGAGAGAGAGAGAGAGAAAGAGAGAAAGAGAGAGAGAGAGAGAGAGAGAGAGAGAATTATACAAAAAAACGGAGGAGAGAAAGTAATGGATAAAGCTTAGTAAGCCTTAAGAAAAAATAGTGAATGAATGATTTTATGAAATAACAAGACTTAAGAATAACTCCACTAATAACACACACATAATCAACAGCAAATTTCTCCACTACACAATCTCAACACATATAAACACACCCAAAGTACATGCCGCGACCCGAGAGTACATCAGCACACGACTCGCCATTACATTCTCACTCCACGCCCATCGGAAAGTACTTACTTGCGGCAGAGGAAGGCGGCAGGGAGGGGATTCCTGGCAGGGCGGGGTGGGGGCCCAGGGGGATGGGGGGCGCGTGCCCTGCGTGGGGGAGCGCCGCCTGCTGAGCCTGCATCTGCTGCTGAAACATACAGGGCGCCAACACTCCCTCAGTCAGTAGTTCGTGGTGGGGGTGATGTTATATGGTGGTGGTGGTGGTGACGGTGTGGTGATGGTGGTGGTGACGGTGGCGATTGTGCTGGGGGTTGAGGTGGGGGTGAAGGTGGTGGTAGTGATAAAGGTGTTGATAATGATGGGGGGGGGGGTCGTGGTGATGATGAGGGATAGTGGTAAGGGATGGTAGCTGAAGTGACGATATTGATGGAAAATGGTGATTGTAGCGACGGTAGTGGTGATGTTGGTGATGACAAGTGGGGGTACAGGTGGTTGTGGTGCTACTGATGGTGGGGATAACAGTTTTGGTGGTGACTATGATGATCGTCTACTGATGGCGTGATCAGAAGTAGTGACAATGATGGTGATGCAGATGGAGACAGGATTGGAGGCGATAAAAAGAAGAAAGGAAAATGTCCGTAGGGATAAGAGATGATCACAATAAACATAAAGAAAACAAACAAACAAACAAGTCACGTGAAAAAAGTAGACAATGGAAAAAAAAAATATATAAAATAAGATAACAAATACTATTTAAACAAAATAAATAAATAAAAAATAGAAACAAAAATCAAATCCCAATCCACCTTAACCTCCGACCTCATAACAGGTCATGAGGTGGGATCCCGGTCATGAACTCAAGCCCGCAAGTTACGACGAATTGGCTAATTGGCTCCCTAATTAATAGTGTTACAGAGAGAGAGAGAGAGAGAGAGAGAGAGAGAGAGAGAGAGAGAGAGAGAGAGAGAGAGAGAGAGAGAGAGAGAGAGAGAGAGAGAGGGTGAGTGAGGAGAGAGGAGAGAGGAGAGAGAGAGGAAGGGAGAGGAGAGGAGAGAGAGAGAGAGAGAGAGAGAGGAGAGAGAGAGAGAGAGAGAGTGAAGGAGAGAGGAGAGAGGAGAGAAGAGAGAGAGAGGAAGGGAGAAGAGAGAGAGGAAGGGAGAGGAGAGAGAGAGGAGAGAGAGAGAGAGAGAGAGAGAGAGAGAGAGAGAGAGAGAGAGAGAGAGAGAGAGAGAGAGAGGGTGAGTGAGTGAGGAGAGAGGAGAGAGGAGAGAGAGAGGAAGGGAGGGGAGAGAGAGAGAGAGAGAGAGAGAGAGAGAGAGAGAGAGAGAGAGAGAGAGAGAGAGAGAGAGAGAGAGAGAGAGAGAGAGAGAGAGAGAACAACGACGGATCACACTGACAAGGACTCATGACTCATAATTCACGACTGACTCATTGACTGGCGGCGACATATTGGGCTTCTCCACCTGTTGATTTGAGGTGGGGGGGGGGGGGGAGAGGAAATGAGGGGAAGAGGGGAAGAGGGAGGGGAATGGAAGGGGAAGGGGAGGGGTGGTTTGGAATGGGAGTGAGAGGAAGAGAGAGAAAGAGGGAGGAGGGCGAAGGGGAGAAGGAGGAAAGAGGGACAGGATTAAAGAAAGAGAGAGGAGAGAAGAGGAGAGGAGAGAGAGGGGATGTGGAGGGAAAGAGGAGAGGGGAATAGGAAAGGAGAACAGGGGAGTTCACGATTTTGAAACTGTGATTTTTACTCAATATCCCTTTTCTTCTCAACCGGATGTATTTGTTTGTTTGTTTGTTTGTTTGTGAGCAAATAGACAAAATGAATACGCCACCCAAAGAAAGCGGAATAAATACACAATAAGGAGAGTGAATGAAACAACAGAGTGAATAACCGAGAGCCCGAACAGCAAAAAAAAAAAAAAAAAAAAAAAAGCGAATACGGAAGTAAAAAGAAAACGCGGAGTAACAAAAGACAACCAAACTGCGCACATGTTTTGAACGAGACGAGTAACGGATATCGAGCTCCTTTTTCTCAAGTCAAAGGCGAGTAAATAGAACGAGAAGCAAATACAAAACAAACAAACAAGTAAACGAATGAATGGCATGAACAATGGGTGAATCTGTCTTCATTTTCGCCTATTTCTCGTTTTCTATGTTTTAGAGGAACAAGAGGGGTGGCGAAGAACGGGGGAAGAGGAAGGGGGGGGAGGAAGGAGAGGAGGGAAGGAGGGAGGAGGAGGAAGAAAAAAAAAAAAAAGAAGAGGCGAATGGATGGGCAGATAAGGATAACGAAAAGAAAAAGAAGTAGTAGGAGCAAAAAGTAAAAACAAGAAGAGGAAGAAGCGAAGAAAAGAAAAAAAAGAAAAGAAAAAGGAAAAAAAAAAGGAAAAAAAACACAGCAGAAAGAAGCAGATATCGCAGTCATCACCACAGTCGCCACCGCAGTCGTCTTCGAAGGAAGTCAAGCAATCTTAGACGAGAGACCTCCCCCCTCCCCCCATCCCCTTCCCCTCCCCCCCATCCCATCCGCTTACCCCCCCATCCCCCATCCCCCTCCCCTTCCCCCCCCCACGCCATCGCTCACCCTCATAAACGTCTCCTCCTAATTGATAACAACGAAGAGGGGGGAGGGGGGAGGGGGGAGGGGGGAGAGGGGAGAGAGAGCGAGAGCGCTTAATCTCGCCGCGATCCATTATCCGCGGGTGCTCGTTCGTAATTAAAACTCCACTAATCTCCGGCGCATAATTTCCAACAAAACGAATTAGGCGGAGTAGAGGCAGCGGCGGCGGCGGCAGAAGCTTCGTCGTGAGGGTGGTGTGGGGGGGGGGAGGGGGGAAGGAGAGGAGAGAGGTGAGGGGGAAGGTGGAGAGAGGAGAGAGGGAGGGGGGGAGAGGAGAGAGGAGAGAGGGAGGGGGGAGAGGAGAGGGGGAGGGGGAGGGGGAGGGGGAGGGGAAGGAGAGGCGAGGGGGAAGGGGGAGGGGAGGAAGGAAAAGGAGGGGAGTAGATAGAGGACGGAGGAAGGAGGAAGGAGGAGGAGGAGGGGAAGCGAAGGAACAGGAGGAGGAAGAGAAGAAGAGGCAGGGGAGATGTTCAAGAAGAGAAGGTAGAATAAGAAAAAACAAAAGAGAAAGAGACGGAAATGGGAGTAAGATCATAAAATGACCTGAAGTATCAGGAAGAGCAGTGGCGTCTCCCACCCCACCCCTCCTCCTAACACCCCACCGACCCCTACTCCCCCTCCTAACACCCCCACCCACCCCCACTCGCCTTCCTAACACCCCCACCCTCCTCCCTTTACCCACCCCCGCCCACTAACGCGTGTGCATGTATATATTGGTTACAGTTGACAGCTTATTACGCCTAGGCAATGGCCTACACAACTTTGGGCGTGCAAATAGCCGATCGCTGGGCCGATTTCGCGTGTAAATACGACCCCGGGGAATGGAGGAAGGGGAGAGGGGGGAGGGAAGGGGAAAGGAAGGATGGGGAGGAGAAGGGAGAAGAGGGAAGGGGGGAGATAGGAAAGGTACAAGGGAGGGGAAGGGGGAGAAGGGAAGAGGGAGAGGGAGAGGGGGATAGGCAGAAGAAATGAATAGAAAAGACAGGCCTTTAAAACGAAAAAGACACAGAGAACAGAACAGAACCTAAAAAGTAACAAAAATAAATAAAAAATAAGAAAGGAAAAGTAGAAAAGCGATAAAAAAAGGCCCACTCACAGTCCAGAAAAAGAAAGAAAGAAAGAAAGAAAGAAAGAAAGCCAAGCCACGTCTCCTTCCGACACGCCCTCGAGGAAGTTCAAATTAACATCCCTTCCGAGCGAGATCTGTTGCTGACTGGGTCCCGGTCTTTTCTCATTTACCTGTCTTCTCTTTCCTTTCTTTGCTCCTTCTTATTTCCTTTTTTTTTTTTCTTTTCGTCTTCCTGGGTTTCTCTTCGAGTACTTTTTTTTTCTCTCGCTTTTCATTCATTCCTTACCTTCTTCTTCTTCTTTTCTTCTCCTCCCTCTCCCTTCTCCTTCTCCCCTCTCCCTCCTCCCTTCTCCGATATCCTCCTTCCGCCTCTCCCACTTCCTTCCCCTCTCCCTCTCCTCCTTCCTTCCTCCCTCTCCCTCCCCACCTCTTCCCTTCTCCCTCCTAACCTCCTTCCTTCATCCACTCCCTCCTCCTTCCCCACCTCCTCCTCCACTCCCTCCCTCTCCCCACTCCCTCCTCACCTCCCCCCCCCGTGACACCTCGCCCGCCCCCCTAATGACACCGTCTGCTTCGATCCCGCGGAATGACTCGGCGCTCGTGCTCTCTGCTGCTGCTGCTGCTGCTTAATGGCGTCTGAGGGCACCGTCGCCGCGTCAATGAGAGAGAGTAAGAGGGGAGGAAGGGGAAGAGAGGGGAAGGAGAGGAGAGAGGGGAAGGAGGGGAGGGGAACGAGGGGAGGGAAGGCGGGGAGGGGTGGGAAGGGAAGGGAATGATGAGAGAGATGAGGGGATGAGAGGGAGGAAGGGGAAGAGGGGAGATGGGTGGGGGAGAGGATAGGTGGGACGAAGGCTGGGAAGGTATGGGCAGGAGAGGGGGGTGATAAGCGAGAGAGAGGGAAGGATGGAAAGAAAAACATAAAAAAGAAGTGAGTGAAAGAGGAGACAGGAGAGAGAGAGAGAGAGAGAGAGAGAGATAAAAGAAAGAATTAGAAACAGACTAACAGAGAAGAGAGAAAGGAGAAAGCGAGAAAGAGAACTGAAGGCATTAAACAGAGGAGGAGAGGAGAGGAGAGGAGAGGAGAGGAGAGGAGAGAGAGAGAGAGAGAGAGAGAGAGAGAGAGAGAGAGAGAGAGAGAGAGAGGAGAGGAGAGGAGAGGAGAGGAGAGGAGAGGAGAGGAGAGGAGAGGAGAGGAGAGGAGAGGAGAGGAGAGGAGAGGAGAGGAGAGGAGAGGAGAGGAGAGGAGAGGAGAGGAGAGGAGAGGAGAGGAGAGGAGAGGAGAGGAGAGGAGAGGAGAGGAGAGGAGAGGAGAGGAGAGGAGAGGAGAGGAGAGGAGAGGAGAGGAGAGGAGAGGAGAGGAGAGGAGAGGAGAGGAGAGGAGAGGAGAGGAGAGGAGAGGAGAGGAGAGGAGAGGAGAGGAGAGGAGAGGAGAGGAGAGGAGAGGAGAGGAGAGGAGAGGAGAGGAGAGGAGAGGAGAGGAGAGGAGAGGAGAGGAGAGGAGAGGAGAGGAGAGGAGAGGAGAGGAGAGGAGAGGAGAGGAGAGGAGAGGAGAGGAGAGGA